TACTGTAAAATATGCCAGCGGATCCAACCGGTTATATTCTATCGATGCATAAAGTAATTATATTACACCCATTGAATAACGTTACATACTTTGTGATCATGCTATTGAAAAATATGACATAAGTTGTTGAATGTAAATGTACTATGCCCAAACCTTTCCACCGAGGCTAATAGAGGAAGTTGTCTCACCGACTTCCTTAATTGTCTCATCCGTCAACGGATTGACTAAAGTTGACCACATTTTTAAGGATATCTACTACTACACAAATAATCAAGCAACTTCAATCATACTTTGATTGTCAATGCTCGTACGCGGAGCACATTGTTACATACCTGCATTAAAAACATACCCCGCAATAGTTTTTACGTACCTGTAATATGATCTCATATGCTCCCGTAACGAGTATCTATGCCCTGGTAACTTATGTTTATGAAATCGACCGTTCTTTATTTGAAACATTCAATTATTGTCGGTAATCAGGGATGGATGTATTATTATAGTATTCTTGTGAATCCCAGAACTGTATGTAAAGATAAATAATACATATTTACTATATATGACTAAACAAGTCATAAAAGACTTAGTTAAACTATGATTGGTTGTTACTTGTACATGTTTTATCGTTTTGCCATTGAAAAGTGTGGGCATGTGCTGTCGAATGTAAACATACCATGCCTAAATTTTTTCATCGGGGCTGGGAGAAGAAGTACTCACATCGAGTTCGTGAATTGGCCCCTCCATAAGAGGATCAATTACAATCAAGCACATTCATGACTACCTGCTACTACACAAATATTACCTAAGCAACCATTATTTATACCTACCTAACATACCTGCATCAAATACCGATATGCCCTAGCGCAGATCTTATGTATCGATAATGTTGGTATCACATGCTTCAATATCGAGTATATATACCTTGGTAACTTGTGCTTAGGTAACCGACCATTTTTTGTTTAAAATATTCATTTATTGTCGGTAATCAGGGATGAATTCATCGTGATAGTATTTCCATGACACCCTAAATTATATAAAGAGATAAACAACATATATTTACTATAGATGGCTAAACAAATAAAAAAAATGACTTAATTATATTGTATATATGTAGAATTATACTCAAACCTCCCCTTGTAGATGACTAAACAAGCTATAAATGATTAAGTTAAATTATATTAGTTGTTAGAATGCATGATTGTTGTCATGAATTGAAAATTTTTAGACTTATTACATAATAATCTTCATCGTAGCACAAACAACAACATTCAAGTGAAAACGCTAGTTGTAATATACTATTAGGACTGCAAGTGTTTTTTGCGTAATTGGACAAACACATCTTATCTAAAATATTTTGACCCATGACATAATAATCCAAACTATTACACACTTATAAACTCAATATCAATTAGCCCGGAACATTTTAAAAAAGTATAACTTGGTTGAGTAGGCAAGTACTTCAGCATGGCTCCGATGTACCCCCTATTGATTTTAATGTACCAATTCTTATCAAATTATGTACTCAGGCTCTGCTTTCATGTAAATAAAGAATGTAACATTATGACATAAGTGGGTAATTATGTAGCTGCATACTTTAAATAAATGCTCGTTTCAATGTACTCAAGGAAATAAAGTGAGCTCGATAGACTTCGATAAGAACAATAATTTATAACTCTTTTAGTATGGGTCTAACGAATGCAACACAAAATACCACTTACTTTTTTCCATTTAGAAAATTAATTAACATAAATTTACTATAATTTTTAAATGGGTAATACGCTACAGACCCATGTGTTTCGTGACATCAACTATATATTCTTCAAAATAAACAAAATACTGACCCACAATTTGTGTGCCTGTGTTATATTTTAAGAAACCTCTATCGTTAACGAATCATATATAAAAGATCATCATCACATACCCGTAATTTACAAAATAGCATCAATGCAACACTTTTACTGTTGTATATTTATATAAGATATTACATTATGTCTAGCACATCAAAAATAATTACAATGAAAGGATTGACAAACATCCTATAAAAATATAAAATTACACCTTAAAAAAGTCTACAACAACCGCGCCTGGCTTTAGCCAATTATCACGGACCAAATTGGATACTTCTGTAGCTGCAATTAAGATATCAGCTTCACATAAAATTTGTTCTGGATTTTTGGCAAATTGATGAAGAATAGTCACAGTAGCATGGTGCGCCTCTGCCATAAATGGATAAAATGTTGGAGTTCAGTAAATTAGAAAAATATATATAATTATATAATTAATTGCACAATTAAATTACATGGATATATATCTTTACACACTAATCTAAACCTACGAGACTAAGATCAATTAAATAATATATATATCAATACTTGGGAAGTAATGTTGCAAGCAATCCAACAATGTTAATCTTACCAATCACCACAATACTTTTTCCCATAATATCAACATTAGACTATTGAAGCAACTTAATGCAACATTTAGGAGTACATAAATTAAATAATGGTTCTACTCCTTCATGCTCAAATTTCTAATATTCAGAGGATGAAAACCAATCTTTCTCTCAATTTATATTATTCAGTATTTTAGCCTCATCCATAGTTTGTTCAAGTCGAATATATGTTTAAATTAAGCAAGTCATCACACAATATATTGGCTTTATAATTCTATTGCACTATCAAGTCTATAATGCTCCGCAAAGTAGACATACAGTATACGACAGACATTTGTTTTGGAAATATAAAGTCAAGCAAAACTCAGACATTTGTTTTGGAAATACAAAGTCAAACAAAATTTAAATATATGATAATAGTTTATGTTCTTAATTAGAACCAAATTATTGATCAGCACAGTATCAAGATCAATTGAAACTGGATAAACATAGATAAAACAAATTTATTTATTATTAAGTTTTAATTCTGTAGTAGCGCTTCAGCTCCATTTGTATTTGATCAAATACAAAATTGCAAAACAATTTACACTATGGGAAGTTTCACAAAATTAATAGAATCTTAGAAGTCCAGGCTTATGTATATATATACAAACCTCACTAATAAAATTTTACTAATGTAGTGAATCACGCACAAGAATGAATAGCGACAAATTTTAATGGTTCGATATTTTTTTTAATATTTAAAAAAATTCACTAAAAATTTCTCAAATCACAAAATCACTGCTTCATATCTACAATAAAACCTACTTGCTTAACATAATCAAAAGGCTTCTAGCAACATTTTCTACAAAATAACAACTTTCTTTCTAACCCAAAACCTACCCAACCTATCCAATCGAAATAGAGTAACTAACCTTGCAAAAACATCGATTTCAATCTTCGCGGGGGACAGATGACAACCTGGGTGATGACAAAAAATATGAGGAGAGAAATGAGTCTTCGAGCGCGCCGGAAATTAGCCCATCGGATGGCACTGTGGATTTCAAAATCGCCGATAAATGCCCCACTTTCGTGCGAAATCTGAAACGATTTAGAGGGTGGAGAGAGTGATTTAGAGGGTGGAGAGAGAATTGGGATGGTGGGGAGTGAGAACAAAGAAAAAAAGAAAAGGGGGGACTGCAATATAATAAATTAGAAAAAGGGACTGATCTTAAATCAATTTGTGAAATTGGGCATTTAACCCCAATTGTCCGTAAATTCTATTCACCTCGAAAAAAAAGTAAATAATGTAATACAAAATATTATTTTTATATTACCAACACGATTATCTATATTTAACATAAAAATACATTCATTTAAAAGTATAATTAAAATGAATACATTGTAAATATTATTGTTGTTACTAAAAAAATACAAAATTATATAGTTTTGTTTGTATTTTACATTATGTACGCTAATATATATTTTGAAGAATAATTAACATAATTATTAAATACTCCATCCGTCCCTTAAGTAATTATTTGTTTGCTTTTTGCATAAAGCATATTTATATTATATTGATATTTAGTAAAAATAAAGTAAAAATGACTAAAATAATTTTATTAGTATTGTATAATATAAAAGTAATGATATTTGTGTAATATATTGTAAATTATAAAATATTTGTAATATTATGTTGATAGTACAGTTACTAAAAAATAAAATGAATACTTTATTATAAAACGGATCAAAATGAAAAAAATTGATAATTTGTAGAGAGACCAAGAGATTAATTATTATTATTAGAAAAATAGTAAATATAGATATTATTGAATGTTAAAGTATACAATAATAATTGATAAATATATAAATAATATTTTCTCTATCCTACATAAAATGTTTTTTTTTTATTTTATTTTATTTTTGGTGTGTGGGCCCCACCACTCACATAAGTAATAAAAATATAAAAAGATATGAGAGGTGAAGGCGGGAGGGGAGGTGCGGATAGTGGCGATCCAATTTTCTAATTTTTCTATTTTATTCGTTTTAGGCTAACTATTAAATTAATATCCTTTCCGGTAATTTTTATTTATTTATTTTTTTTGTCCGGTATAATTTATTATTATTTTTATTTATATTTACTATAATATTATTTTTGTATGATCTGAAGTCATATTTATTTTTTTATTATTATATATTTATTTATTTATTTATTAATATTATAAGAAATTCATAAAAATATTTTTAAATTTTTTTTTTTTTTTTTTTTTTAATTTGTTGAGCAAATGTCCTCTGGCGCTGCAACTTGCACCAGGAGGTCAAAAAGAAAATAGTAAGTAGGGCAGCAATTTTTGGGGTTTATTATAATATTGAGAAGATGCAATTTAGAATCAATTCTGTCTCTCTCTTTCTCCATGGTTGGGTAAGGTTAGGCGTGTTTGATGTGATTTTAGCTTTCGAATTTCAATAATTGTTCGATATAATATAAATTGAAGTTTAATGTGATATTTTAAATATAAAATAAATTTATAATATAATATAAAAAAATAATTAATTTTTGGATGAAAAAAAATTCAAATAATAAAAATATTCTGTAAAACCCATAAAAAAAAAAACAACCAAGTAGATGATCGGATTGGATTGGACCCCGAACCGTTCCAGTCCCTCATTCATTGTATTCTATTACGATGTATGTATCTATTCTCTTCACCTTCCCCGATTGGCTGCTGCTGCTGCTGCTGGCGGCTCAACTCTCAAGCCATTCATTCATTCATTTTCCATATATATATATATAATGTACAGACTGCACTGCCCTCCATTTCAGCTGGTTCACTTGCTACCGCAAGTTGATTCTTGATCTCAAAATCCTCTGTTTGATGGTAAGCTCCTTGCTCACAATGAAAGTAATTAATTATGTTTCTTCCAATTATAACTATTCCTGTTGAAAGATTCTTTTGCGTTTTCATAGTTCTGAATTTATATATGGATAGCAATTTCTAGGGTTTACAGGCAATGCTTGTTTGTTTGCTAATTTGGGGATTTTGTTGTCCATTACTGATAATTGCTAAATTCAACTCACTCGAGCCATCTATATGTATACATATATTGCTTTCAATTATAGTTTTGTTATTTCAGTTAATGACGTATAACTTTGGCATATGCCTTTTTGCTCCGATTCGTTGTTAGATTCTGCTTTAGAAATGTTTCTTCTAAGTTTTGTTTGTTGTTTGCAATGATCGATAGATGAGCTGTGCTGAGCTGATTGTTAATTTCTGAAGCTTCGAAGAATGAACGATCTTATCGAAATCATGGCTTTTAACGGAAGAGTCCTCCGACTTTGAAGATTTGTCAAATTCATTTCGTGTTCATGTCGATCTGAAATTGGTTGTGTATTGACTTTTTTTGATCTAGAAACAAGACTATGATGCAAGGCAATGGATCGATCAGTGGCTTCGATCCGATGAGAGTTCATCATCATCAGCTGAGCTCTCACCACCACCGGCAAGGATCAATGGTTCCTCCCACAATCCCCGAAAATTTCCCCCTTACAATTGGAAGTAGCGGTAGTCAAGATCAAGAACAGCCCATTTTGTTGATGGACTACAACAACAACAAACATGACAGGGGAAGATCAGGGAGCGATGACGAGGACCCGAGCTTTGTCGAAGATTGTGGTGAAGGCCGTGAATCTGGCAAAGGGAAGAAGGCTTCGACATGGCAGCGCGTCAAGTGGAGCAACACCATGGTTCGGCTACTGATCACGGCAGTTTCGTACATCACCGAGGATACAATGGCTGCCGAGCAGGGCGTTGGTCTTAGGAAGAAGAACTCGAATTTACAGAAGAAGGGGAAATGGAAATCGGTTTCGAAAGTCATGGCAGAGAGGGGACACTTTGTTTCGCCGCAGCAGTGCGAGGACAAGTTCAACGACCTCAACAAACGGTACAAGAGGCTGAACGAGATTCTCGGGCGAGGAACGTCGTGCGAGGTTGTCGAGAATCCCTCGCTTCTCGACGTTATGGATCACATTCCCGAAAAGGTCAAGGACGAGGTTCGAAAGATTTTAAGCTCAAAGCATTTGCACTACGAAGAAATGTGTTCCTACCACAACGCGAACCGTCTGCATCTCCCTCCCGATCCCGACCTGCAGCGCTCGCTGCGGTTGGCTCTCGGGAGCCGAGACAAAAATGACGACCACAGTTGCGATGTGAGAAGGCATTTGAATGAAGAAAACGACGAGGTTGATCAGGAGGGGGAGGTGGACGAAAATGGCGAACACGAAGAGAGTGAAGAAGGATTTGGATCCTCGAAGAGGGTGAAGCAACAGGGTTGGAATGAGGAGAACCTCAAAAGAAGGTTAGAAAATGTCGAATGTGAATCGAACTGGTGCAATGGGACGAATGCAAAGACGTCGTTGGAAGAAGAGAGGATAGAGTTGGATATGCAGACGGTGGAGTTGGAGAAGGAGAGGTTCAAATGGCAGCGATTCTGTCGAAAGAAGGACCGGGAGCTTGAAACGATGAAGATGGAGATCGAGAAGATGAAGCTGGAGAACGAACGAATGGGTTTGGAGCTGAGGCGAAAGGAGTTGCAGTTGGAGATGGAGATGGAGATGGAGATGGAGATCCACAGCTACAAGAAGCCATAAATTAAAATCCCATCTTGCAACTCTCCAAGGTTTGTTCGATTTTTGTTTGAAATTAGAATTTTGATTTAAATATTATTTTGACGCTATGTTTCATGAAAAAAATAATACTCTTTCCGTCCGTCGGGCTTTAAGAGTCTCAATTACCTTTTGCATCATTGTACTTAATATTAAAAATATCCTGTATAATTTTTTTGCACAAATGTTATTGTAATAATATTATAAAACACTAATAAAAATATTTTTGCTATTTTATTCTAAAATTTATATTACGTTTTTATATAATAATTAATATTAAAAGATCAATGTACAAAATCCTCAGAGCCGGACAAAGGTAGTATAATACTCCCTCCGTCCGCATTGTATTTAACATTAAAAGTATCCTTATATTTGTATTTCTTTTTTTTTTATAAATATTATTGTAATAGTATTATAAAACAAGTATTTTTGTCATTTTTTTTAATTTATATTATATTTTTATATAATAATTAATATTTAAAGATCAAGACTTTAGAGAGACTGACAAAAGTAGTATAATATATTTTTACTTAAAATAGATTTTAAATCATAACAAAAATTCTTTAATCTACTTTGGGTTTGGGTGGTTGTTATGTGTTGTATAGATTTGTTATATGTTTATGGACATATTTGTATTGTCACTTGTCAACACATTTTGGCGCGTTCGATTTGATCCAAATTGTAAATTGTATTTGTGGTAGGTAGTTTGTTATTGTTTTTATTTGTAAAATTGAATTATAATGTGATAGATAGTATTAAATTAATAATAAATTTAAGATATTTTAAATGGTTTAAAATTTACATTTTGATGTAATTTATTAATATGAATATTATTTTTGTATTAAATAAAATTTTATATAATATTAATAAATAAAATATATTTATATACCCTAGTGAATATAAATTAATTTATTAAAAGTAAAGGTTTTTAAATAGATATTGATATAGTAGAAAAATATAAATAAAAGAGTACAAGGTTCAATTATTATTTTTTTTTTCGAAATTGTTTTTGTTTTGTTTTATTTTTTATTTTTAAAAAAATAATGTAGTTGACAAGAAATAATTAGTATATAATAGTCTTTCTGTCCGACTAAAAAATACTCCCTCCGTCCCATGTAATATGGGTGTATTACTGTAGACACGTGAATTTAAGTAAAATATAATTAGTAAATAATTAAGAAATATATTAATAAAAATAATTATAAATATTGGAAATAATGTTTGCTCATACTTAACATAACATTCCAAAAAATAATTGGCATGGCTCGAAGAAACAAGCATGCTTTTGATTTCACACCAAATAACAGTATATTTCGATCCTCAATAGTTCGATGCCTTAGTTTTTTCTAATGTGTTAGTTGACTATATATAATTTTTTTCACTTTGTGTAAAGCTTGGTTGTTGAATATTTTTGATTTTGTTTGTCAAAAGTTTTAATATGGATAAAATTATGTAGGAAATGATCCTAGATTGCAATTTCAATTATTTCCTTCATTGTTTCTGTTCTTTTATTATTATTTGGTGTTTAAATGGTAGATTTTTAGTATGTGTATTCACTGATAGGGGTTTACATATGTGAATTTTGTCCAGTAAATTATTTCTGATTTGGTGTTAATTTATTTTATTTATGCATATTAATATGAATGAGTATGTTACTGTTGAATGTAATATCTCCGGAGTTAGGCTGGTGCTAGGCCAACTCCCATGGATGAGCCGGTGTCAGACCATCCAAGAGTAAATAGTAATTAAATGGATTAAATAGATTACTAACGTCAACAATGTGCACATTCCTTTTCGGGAACTCTACTGAAAGAACTCTAGAATTAAGCGTGTTTGCCCTAGAGTAAGCGAGCAGGAAAGACTCGTGTTGACCTGTGGGGCTAGACTACGATCCTGACAAACTCGGCTTCGCGTGACTTGCGGGTCGGGGTGTCATAGTTGGTATTAGAGCCGACCTTCGACGGCCTTTAGTCGTTGATCGGACTGGTGACAAATAGATTACTCATGTCAACAATGTAAATATTCCTTTTCAAGAGCCTTATTGAAAGAACTCTAGAGTTAAACGTGTTTGCCTTAGAGTAATTTGAGGATGGGTGACCCCTGAAAAGTCATTTTTAGGAGTCCTATTAAAAGAACTCTAGAGTTAAACGTGCTTGCCCTTAAGTAATTTGAGGATGGGTGACCCATTGGGAAGTCTCTCAAAGTGCGTGTGAGTGAAGACAAAAGCGCACAAAAATGACACGTGTTAACATGTGGGGCCAGTCTACGATCACGATACCCTCGGCTTCGCATAGCTTGCGGGCCAGGGTGTCACATTGAAACACTTGTTCAAACCTTGTAGAAATGACGTTTAATGATGACGTCTCTACATTATTGAAAATTTACTTTGGTAGGGTAATGAGGTATAAGCCCCATATAAAATATTTAGAGAGGGAACATGACTACTTTAATTTCATAGACATGAATAGCTTAAGTATGTTGGAATTGTAAGGATATGTAGAGGATTTAGGATACAATGAACCCAATAGTATTAGGTTTTGCATGAAATACGATAAGAACTTTGATAGACACTGTATGTGTTTGAAGAGTGATATGGATGTTTTATGATGACAAAAAATATTCTAGATAATTATAAAGTGGAAATCTATTTGGAAAATCTAGCTATCGGGCTCAGCCAACATCCTCAGCCCAATGTATTTAGTGGAATAGAGGATTTAAGTGGTGAAGTTAGTGGAGATAATTGCGTGTAAAGTGAAATTGAAGTAATTGGTTCTGATTTTGATGATTCTGATAATGAAGTTGAGATAAAGAGTGAGATTGATATTGATATTGAAGGTAAAATGAAAAAGGGAAGTCTATTGTAGATGATTCCACAATTCGTGAAAATGTCTTGAACATTTTACAAAATATAAAATGTTGAATGTCATGAGTTGTGATGGTGAGTTAAATAATTGGGTGAAAAGTGAAGGTACTTAAAAAGGGGGGTAAAAATAATTTCAAAATTATAATCTAAAGACAAGTGGTGAAAATCCTAAGTTGAAATTGAGCTTGCTATTTAAGTCTAGGCCTGAGGCTAAGTTTGCTATTGAGAGCCATTGTTTTAGAAAGGGAAAGAGTGTAAAGTTTCTAAAGATTGACATAACTAAATTGAGAGGTACATGCAAGAAATAGAGTTGTGGGTGGTTTGTGCTTGTATTTAAGGTGCACGGTGATGAGGTATGACAATTGCGTAGCATGAAATTTATAGCAAGTGTGGGTAGACTTATGATAAAGTACTAAGTCTTCGGGTAAGGATTGAATATACCTATGTTAGTGTACAACAATTCACCTTTTACCAGCAAGTTTATTTTAGAATTGCAAAACGATATAGATTGTAGATGCACAAGTTGGTTTTTTTTTTGGAAATGAGTGCTATGGATGCGGTTCATGCTTGCTAATCTTACATCCTACGTATTTTATACTAGAAAATGAAGATAAGAGAGACATGAAGCGTGTGCTAGCCTCACTATATTTCAAATAAGATTACAGAATGAACAAAAAACTTCGTGAATATACATCCAATGATATCATTCAAATTACGAAAATTTCCTTTAAAGGTTATCAAGGAACAACCATTTTGACTTTCTTGCAAATTTTCTAGTCACAAATTGCCAATTCACAATGTTCATGCATTTTTTAGTATAGTCCTATGGGTGTTATAATTTAATGGCTCAAGCACTAATGCTTTTGCAAGCATCAAACATGGACACATATTGAGTCTTACCAAACATAGAATTCACCTCGCAAAAACAATTGCCAATTTACAACCCTAATGCATTTGTTGGGACAATCCCATTGTTGTTGCAATTCATTGGCTTAAGTACTTGAACTTTTCCAAGCATAAAGCATGGATGTGGTTCAAGTCCTACAAAAAACAAATCCATCCCTTGAGCACAAGCTAAACATATTTCACAATTTTTTCATATACGTCTACATTTGATATTATGGAGCATTTGTATCTCAATGCAAAATTCAACCAAAGATGAATAAAAATCAAACCTATTAAAAATAGCTATGTCAAACCTAATTTAGGATTGGGTTTCTAGAAACTCAACACACATTACAATGGTAGCGATAATTTTCAAAAAGATTATTCAAATAGATTGGAGAAAAATAACTTAAATGACTTGGAATCAAGTTTGAAATACTGAACTACATAGATCCAAAAATACTTTGGAAAGCAAGAAAAAAATCCAAATAAAGTACTCCCTCCGTCTCAAACATGATGCAACTTTTGTTTGCAGCACGAAAATTTAAGTGTGTAGTATTAAATAGAATAATTTGAGAATTAATTGATATGATGAGAGAGAAAAGTGTATATTTATTTAAGTGATGTAATGAGCTAAAGTGTGGGGTAATGATTAAATATATTTAATGATTTCTATTGTAAAATATTGCAGGATGTTTGAGACAAACAAAAAAAGAAATGTTGCAAAATATTTGGGGCAGATAAAGTAATTTTTTGGTGAAATATTTTGGTAGTTGTTTTTTGTTATTGTCCCTTTTAATGTGCCTTGATGGCTTCTCATTTCCTATCTCATTCAATCTTTTCATTGAAGTTCATTTACCTTCTTCATTTATCTTCGTAACAACCTCTATTAATATCCCTTTATTGCCTCTTTATTCCCTCATATAAGTTATTCCTCTACAACTTTTATTGATAATCTGTTGGGCTTGATTTCTTTAGGCCCACACATCATCAACTCCAATGTGGATTGGTATGTAATTATTTAGTCATGACTTTTTTTTTATTTTTTGTATAACTTCATCTATTCATCCGGACAAATTTAAAGAATTTGACATGTTAACTTATCGTATTGCATTGGCCTACATTGATTCAGATAACCATCCAAAGTTGTTAAGGAGATTTTACCCTATTGACCGGGGTTGTTCGGGATCGGTCCATTTTAATTTATCCTAATTGTATGTGAAAATATAAATCCTCTATATATTGAAAATCAATATATATTGAATAAATTTGATAAAATATACGTATTTTAATTGATAATGAAATATATATATATATAACAAATGGTTTGGATGGCGGAGGCCTAAATGGTGATGTTTGCTTAACATTGGATCCACTATTAGTTACAACTATTTATTTTTTTGAATGCACATGCTACAATTGTTCTCAGCTCTCTTAAAGTTGGCATCATTGCAGTGCTCGAACGATCTGACGCCGAACTAATC